TTTCTTCCCTTTGAATTGAGAAAGCTTACCCAATGCCTGTACCATCATTGTACCCTGAAAGAAAAGAACATCCTTTTAAATTCAGGGAGTCATAGGCAAAAGGGACTGTAGACTTGTCTCAGATGAGATGTTGAACTTTTTACATTTGAGTTAATGCTGGAATGAGTTAAGACGTAAGGAACTTTTGAAAAGGCCTGAATGTAGTTTGCTGTGTGAGAAGGACATGAGATTCTGGGGTATCAGGGTCAGAATAATATGGTTTGTGTTTTGTTTCATTTAATTTAATTTAGGAGAGCTAAATAATTAAACATGAGGCCAAAGTACATAAGAAAGTGGCAGTCTTTTATTGCAAATATGCACACACTCTCGGGCGAGGTTCTCTGGTCTTCAGGTGTAGGGGGCCAGGGAAGTCGCGCTGGCGCTCTCGGGTGAGGTTCTCTGGTCCACGAATGCGGGGGCCGAGGAAGTCACACGGGCTCCTGCCGGCGGCGGACTTTTATGCATTGGCACTTGAAGGGGGAGGGCAGTGGGCGGGATAAGGGCATGATAGGGATGTCTCCGTAGGCGTGGCTGGGTAAGTTTCGATCTCTTCGGATTGACGTCACCTGGCGCATGCTCGGTTGTCCTGCACTTTCCTGGGCACAGGAAAGTTGGTGATGAAGAACCCGGAAGCAATTGGGACTGTGCCATCTTGTTCACCTTCCTCCATTTTGTCCCTTCTCCCTCATCCAAACAGTTTGGTTGTGTTTCTTTACCAAAACTCATGTGAATTGTAATCCTTAATGTTGGAGGTGGGACCTGGTGGGAGGTGATTTAATCATGGCAGGAGGGGGTTGGGGTTGGAAGGAAAAGGAGTGGGTAGGGTGGGGAGTAGGTTGGCAGTAGAGTGGTGGGAGGATGGTGGGTAGTAGGAAGGGGGAGTAGCCTGCTGCAGAGGCAGAGGCTCATGGAAAACCTCTACTAGGGCAGTGCACTGTGGCTTTTCAGGCTTTAGCCCCCATGTCTGCTCTCATGGGCTGGGCTGGAATTGAGTGCCTGTAGCTTTTCCATACTGAGGGTGTGAGCTGTTGGTGGGCTTATGAATCTGGGGTCTGGAGGATGGTGGCCTCCTGTGTGGGGGCTCCAAGCCAATATTTTCCTTCTGCACTGCCATAGTGGAAGTTTCCCAAGAGGCTCTGCCTTTGCAGGAGGCTTCTGCCTGGAAACAGTGGGCGGTGGTGTGGGTGGCGGTTCCTTCACCAGTGGTTAACCTTCTTGATGCTGATCTCCTGATAGTGAGTTCTCATGAGAACTGGTTGTACAACAGGATGTGGCACCTCCTTCCTCTCTCTGTCTTGCTCCTACTCCTGCCGGATGAAATATCTCATTGCCGCTTGGCCTTCTGGTGTGGTTAGAAGGCCCCTGATCAGTGTGGGCCTGGTCAGTGGACTAGTCAGTTGGGACTTGGTCAGTGAGGCCTATTTATTGGGGGTGTGGTCAGCAGGGGTCTGCTTAGAGAGGGTCTCATTAGGGGGATCTAGTAGTGGGGGTCTTGGTGAGTGGGGACCTAGTAGCAACCACTTGTTTGGTGTCTGGTCAGTGTGAAACTAGGCAGGTCAAGGGGTGCTATTCAGTGGAGGCCTGGTCACATGGGACCTAGTCAGCAGGGCCTGGTGGCCATGTCCTCATCAGTGAGGCCCTTGTCATTGGGGTACTGGTCACGGCAGCCTGGTCAGTGGAACCTAATCAGTGGGGGCCTGGTCAGAGAGGGCTTGGTCAGTGGTGGGTTTTGTAGCCACCGGGTGGCTATGGGCTGACCTGGTCAGTGGGGATCTGAGCAGTGGGTGCCTATTCAGTGGAGCCTACTCACTAGGGTCACAGTCAGGGGCATCTGGTCACCTAAGGCCTGGTTAATAGGGGCCTGGTCAGTGGCATCCTGTTCCCTGGAGGTCTGGTCAGTGGGGCCTTATCTGCGGGGCCAGGCAATGGGGTCATGATCGGTGGAACCTGATCAATGAGGCCTTGTCAGTAAGAACCTGGTCAGTGAGGCCTTGTCAGTAAGGACCTTGTCAATGAGGCCCTGGTCAGTAAGATCCTGGTACGTGGGGTCCTGGTCATTGTGGGCCTGGCAGCAGGGGCCTGGTTAGTGGGGCCTGGTCATGGGGTTCTAATCAGTGAGGGTGTGGTCAGGGAGGACCTGATGTGCGAGATCTGGTCAGCAGGGACCTGGCCAATGGGGGCTGCTGAGCACTGCTGGGAGATGTCAGGTGCAATGCATGTTATCGAAGGCCCTGTGGACAGCTGGGATGGACCAGTAGTGCCCAAAGGCCCAGTCAAAAGTGGACAAAGCAGGTGTTTGGATGGACCTAGGAGCTCTTGCTCAGAGATTTTGACAGGGCAAAGGTAAAGGAAGGGCCAGAGTGGCTGGTGAGATGGTCACAGTCTGTGGGCTGCACAGGATGGAGGAAGCCAGGGAACAGGGAGGGTGGGCAGCTGGGGTGCAGGGAGACTTAGGTGCATGCTGGGAGGTCAGACCCTGTAAGGACTGTGAGGGCGTCAGGTGGGGTGGGCTCCAGGTGCACCCTCAGTGCACTGGGCAGGTCTTGGCCCAGGCTCCCTGGACCCCGGTCGAGTGATGTGGTCACTCCCTGGGGGACTGCTGTCAGGCACTGGCCACCCACCCTGGGCAGCACTGTCCCATCTCAGGTCTGGACTTTCTCAGATCCTACAGAGGGCACAGCCTCCAGCCCAGGAGGAGCAGCCCGATGGTGCAGCCCAAGCTCTCCATGGGCCTGGAGCATCCCCTGCCAGTCCTGCGCTCCCTCTTCTTCCAGGTCCCGCTTTTCCAGTGTCAGCCAGCAGGGAGGCTCCATCCTCCCTTCCCTATGTGTCTCCTGGGCTGAAACTTGCGGAGGATTGGGACAGGGATGGTGCATCCCTCAGGCCCATTTAGGGAGGGGCCTGGCTCCCAGCCTGGCACAGGTCCTCAGCTCTGCCTTGGTTGCCTTAGAGTGAGATGGATCAGTCAGTGCCCTGAAGGTAAAGGTAGGAGACTGTCCCTGCTGTGTGGAAGGCTGGTCTAGGGATGGAGGACTTAACAGGTCCTCCCAGTCTGTCAGGCCTGGGCAGCCCTGTCCTGTCTTAGGACTCAGAAAGTCCAGTCCTGAGATGGGACAGTGCTGCCCAGGGTGGGTGGCCAGGGCCTGACAGCAGTCCTCCAGGGAGTGACCACATCACCCAGCCGGGGTCCAGGGATCCTGGCCTGAGACTTGCCCAGTGCATTGAGGGGACACCTGGAGCCCACTCCACCTGATGCCCCCGTAACCCTCACAGGGTCTGACCTCCCAGAATGCACCTGTCTCTCCTTGCACCCCAGATGTCCACCCTGTCTGTTTCCTGGCTTCCTCCATCCTGTCCAGCAGGATGGGCTGGACAGTGGGAAGCCTGTGTGCACATTTCCTGGCAAGTAGGAGTGACACACCATCCCTGGGAGGCACCATGGTTTCTGCCAAACCCAGCCCCAGAACTCTGTCCCTGAGGTGGTTTTACCAAACCCAAAACCCAGAACTGCAGTTGTGGCTCAGGGGTCAGCACCCGCTAGTGCCAGGACACTACTGGGAGACTGGGTCCTGACCAAAGCCCATGGTGTCTGTGGCCTGAGGACAGGGTGTCTTGGGACCCAGGCCACCAATGGCCATTGGGTCATAGGGTCTCAGTCCCAGTGTTTTTCCTTCCCTGGCTCCTTCTAGTTCAGTCCCATCAGGGCCCTGGAGCCCAAGACCCAGCACCCCAGGTCCCCTCCAGGAATCCTGGTGGCTTGGCTTACTTTATCGCATTCCATCTGAGAGCAAAAATGTCAGATCAGATGCACAGAAAAATGGCTCAAAGTGCTTAATGACTAGAAGAAATTTAAGAGCAGCAAGAAGGTAATGTGAAGAAGGGAGGACCTCCATGACTGGTGTCTGCAGAGCCAGGTGTACAGGCACCCAGTGCTGTGGTCTGGCACCACCTGCCTCTCAGAGGGTGGGTGGCACACTGTCCTTACCCGGAGGGCAGCAGGCCTGGTCACCAGCTTTTCCACCTGTCCCTGCAAGCATCGCGTTGCTAGAAGAGAATCTCATGCCAGAGCTTGGACCATGCCTTGCTCAGGGGTTAGGGGTTGTCTCTTGGTGACCTAAATGAAAAACTAGTTCCAGATCAGAGTTCCTGATGCAGAGCACGCATCCACTCTTTGAATCGTGGGAGGGGAGGCCTGGTTTTAGGTAAACCTAACCTCTTTGAGGAACCACAGAGCCCAAGACTGGAAACTTCCAGAATCTTCTGGCCCCCGGTCCTCCCCGGAGACCCCGCGGCCTGTCTCACCAGGCACTCCTCTGTCTGTAGACGTCTCGGCTGCTCTACAGGGGAGTCCACTTTGAGGTGTCCGGCTGGGCATGGTCACTGCTGCTGGATGTCTGGACGGCGGAAACAAAGGACCTAGGAAAACACCAGGTACAGCCTTTCCACCCTCATCCAGAGCAGGACAAACAGGTCAGGTGGGGTCAGGAGCCCAGGTCTCCAGCTGGAGGGAACGTCAACCCTGCAGTGGGAGCCGGGGCCCATCGCGCATCCTAGGCACAGATGGTAATGTAGGCACTGGAGGTAAGCTGGGCTTGGTACCCTTCCCTGGCTTCAGAAAGAAGCCAAACAAGGAGCATTTTGCAGAATGAAATCTTTTTTTCCAGAAGCACTGCTGACTGTCTGGTGGTTACCGTTTGTGGCAGTGAGCCTTTTGTCCATTCTGAGATTTGATTGGTTTCTCCTTTTGGCCCTGCCCTGCCCTAGAGACCATAAGGAGAACAACAAGAGGCTCCCAGCAAACATCCACAGATAGCCCTGGACATCAGCCACATTCTGAGAAACATGTCATGTTCTGGGAGGGCTAAGGCACCAAGTAAGGCCTATGGAGCTGGAGAATCCCAGGGCAGGTGGGGCAATCCAGAGCTGTGGGGGCTTCCCATGGGAATTGGGAGGTCCCAAGGCAGAGTCAGAGGTTCCACAGGAGGAGTCACAGAGCTGGCAAGGGCTCTCCTGCTGGGCTCCAAGCCCTGAGCCAGGCTGGGGCATGTGGGGCCAGGAGGCAGGTCAGAGTAGGAGGCAGAGAGAGAAGTGTACTCAGAGGGCACCCGTATCTGGATGTAATGTGTTCCTGAGATTCTGGCTGGGAAGTGCTTCCAGGGTTTCATATGTGTTATGCAACTGCTTCCTCTCCCCAGCCTCACCCTGCAGGAATTCTAGTGACTATGTTGCCACCATCTTGGAGCTCCATGCCCTCATAGTGTAATGGCACCAGCAGATCTGCCTGTGCACGGACTTCTGTACTAGCTCACTCCTGAGGGGTGATGTTTCTGCAGGGCCTATGACCTGGTGCACAACTTTAGATACCATCATCGTGGAGCAGCACTGCACCCTTACTAGCCAGGGTGTTGATGACATCCTCAAGGCCAAGGCCACATTCAAGACTTTGGACTTCAGTGATGCACTTGTGCTGGGCAAGGTGGGCGTCTCCGGGATCTTAATTCAGAAGGTGGAATGCAGCTTGAGATCAAGTGTCTGATCAAAGAACTTGAACTTGATCTGGAGGGCTCTGGGGAGCCATGAAAAGTGCTGGATAAAGGAGGAACAGTCAGCCATGTTTTAGAGATGACCGTAGAAGGCTTCCTGGAAGGAGTGAACAAGAGCCAGACCAGGGAGGGAGCTTGTGGGGCAGGTCTGGAGATGGCAAGGGAGGGATCCTGTTTGGATGAAAAGTCTTCAGGGACCATGTCAGGTTACACTCAGGTACCCTCAATGTGTTCAGAAGTCTTGTCTCCAGGATGAAAATGGGAAGGAGTTGTCAGACAAGGAAATATAAATGGAGGCTGGCATCCTCATGAGTGTCAATGGTGGTCTCGGTGTGGGGCTACTGTGAGAACAGGGGTATCTCCATTCAGGGACACAGTGGATGGACCCTATATCACTCCATTCTGCCCTTCCTTTCCCTCTTCTCATTCTCCCCAGGGCCTCAGTGCATGGGCGCTGTCCATCCTTTGGTGCTGAAGCAGCGAAGCGATCCAAACCTGCCTGGCTGCCTCTTAGGATATGACAACCCAGCCAGTGGCCTCTGCTGGATCCTGTACAACTTCACAAGACACCCAGACACTGCGAGTGCTGCCAGCACGTGCTGTAAGAGTCCTGAGGGACCACAATCCTGAAGACATTGAATGGTGGGTGCAGGGCCTCATGGCCTGTTCCCCAGCCCCTCTCATTGGCTCTGCTCCAGGTGGTGAAGGGGGATAATGTTTCTATCAATTCTGCCATTATTGACTAGCAGGAAATGAGCGGAGCCCAGAAGCAGGGCCTGGTACCCAGCCTGCCTAACAAGGGAGAACTTGTAGGCTTTGTGGACAGAAAGGTCTGGGAGTCCATATCTATCACCCACTAACTTACTGAGACATTGGTAAAATCAGTTTTCTTTTCTGAACATCCCGACTTTGACCATGGGGTGTCTGGCCCCAGTGTGGATGTTTGCTCCTCTCCCATGAGACTCCTCCCTTTTCAGAGTCAAATGAATGAACAGAGGATGTTAAAAGTAGGGTCTCTGATGCCTCTGCCAGAGGGGCTCCAGGCTCCTGGCTGGTGCCTGTGATCTCATTCTTATCTCATTAAGAGTAGTAATGAAAAACATGCTCAGTGCTGACAGTGTGCTTGGGGATGTTGTTGTAGGCACTCTGCTTAATTCATTTAATTTTCACAATAGCCTTGATTTTACTTCCAGACTGGATGAGCAGTGAGCCAGAGAAGACATGAAGCCACTGAGACCCCAGGCTTTTTCTGTTTCCACAGCCAGTATGAACTACTCTCACTACGACAACACCGGGGATAAGTGCTTCCACCAGGAACAGAAATGGTTCCAGGGGGCTAGAGATTGTGACAGTCGCCGGCCACTGTGCCATTCTCAGCACTTCGGGGCCGACAGAACAAAGGAGCTAATAGGGGTCCCAGTGGCCGTGAGGGAACGAAGTTGCTGCTACCCGATGGAAGAGAGGAAGGTCTCCGGTGCCCAGATTCCCCATGGGGGAGTTGCTAGCCTGCTGCATCCAGGATAAAAGCGAAGAAAGGATCACACAAACCGCAGGCAGGAGGGACCCCCCAAAGGGAGCAATCGCTGAGGAATGGAGAGTCCAGCAGCTGCGGTGCTCGCTGGAGGCCCAGGAGCAGCATGGGGCACTGGCTTCAACCAGGGTTGATGTCTTGAGTGAAATGAGAGCGTATTTTGGCACCGTGATAGTGTGTTGGCGTGCGAGCATAGAAAGAAGGAGTGTGTGACCCAGCAGTCACAGAAATGAAACCTGAAGGCCTGAGCATGGGCTTCTTCATTGTCCTTCTGTGACATTCTCTATGCAGGGCCTAGAAAGCTGCAGCCGCTCCCAGGCTCCCTGTGAGCTGAGCTCCCAGCGTGGTGCAGCATCACCCTGAGGGTTCTGTCTTGCAGCCTGGTGTCCTCTCCCAATGGGGCTTCTGATTGTGCCTGAGGTCGCATGACACTGGCGTCTGGCGTTGCTCCTGAAATCCTGACTTAAAGCCACACATGCCTTTCTGCTTAGAGGAGCCAGCTTTGCTCCCGCATTTAGCATCTGAGCCAGTGTGTTTTATTATAAGCATTAGAGACATGACTTCTAAACTTACAGGTGAATGTGTACCTTTTTATAACTACATAACTTTAAAATTTATTTTTGATAACAATTTAGTTGTTTTTCTTTTTTTTAAGGTGCATGAGTACATGAGCATCTCATTTCACAATGACCTTTGCCCAAAGTAGTCTTGGTTGGACATTTACAATCTAAATACAGTTTCATAGATATTTACATCAACTTGAGTTATAAATTGAGAGAAATACACTACACAAAAATTAAAGCTGATTTCAAATCTTTAAAATCAAGATATGGAAACTCCCAAATATATACTAGAATGCATTTGAAATGCTTTATTTAGAGTTTATTAGTCACTAAATCTAAAAGATGACAGTACTCACATTTAATAAGCAAAAAATATTGAACTGAATCAACAAGTTAAGATGGGACATTAGAACCTAAATGTTTTCATTTAATTTTGGTGAATATTAAGTATACTATATCCATGTTTAGATACTTTTAAGTCATGTTTTCCAAGTTCTGAGAAAACTATAAAACAGCAGACAACATTTCCTGTGTATCTGCTTTGGCACAGAAGAGTTCATAATTTTTTTTCATTTCAAATTGAACGAGAAATGATATATTTCAGTGAAAATCCCAGCTCAAGGGGGCTCTTCTGAGAACTGCAGAAAACAGCTCTGGGCTCTTCCCTCCAGGCACCCGCCCACCTTACCTCTCCCCGCACAACAACTGGATCCAAATAGTGTGCACACCACAGTCCCAGGATTCCCTGGCTTGTTTGTAAATCTATCGGCTGAGGTAGCTTTTTTGTTTGTTCATTTGTTTATAAATATATCAAAAACTGATCCCACAAACAGAAAAACAAGACTCCAACTGACTTCTATATTACCGTTGAATTTCTTTTCTAAATGCCTTCATCTGCTGTTCATTCTTTTTTTACACAGTGAGTCACTTGTTTTCTGAAACCAGGCATGTTGTTTTTAGTTTTTATCACTGGATATTTGATTTTTCCATTTAGTCCTCAGTGGGGTGCGAAATGTCACTTCGTAGATTCTACCTAAACACTGTTTGGAACCTGGTGTATCAAAATAGAGGTTCCATTCTGTAAGACGAAACAACAGATCATGACAAAGCATTTTCACATACAGCTTACTTCCAGTTTTTATCGCTGTATATTCCATTTTTTCTAGAAGGCCACAATGGGCTGAGAAATGTCACTGTAGATTCTATAAGAAGAGTGTTTGGAACCTGGTGAATCAAAACACAGGTTCCATTCTGTGATATGAAACGGTGAATCACCACGCATTTTCATTTATAGCTTGTTTGTAGCTTTTATTGCTGCATATTTGTTTATTGTTTGTTTGTTTTTGATTTTTGTTTGTTTGGCCTCAATGAACTCAGAAATGTCATTTGTAGAATCTACAAAAGGAGTGTTTGGAACTTGTTGAATCAAAACACGTTACATTCTATGATACTAAACAGCACCTCACAAAGCATTTTCACAGATAGCTTCTTTCTAGTTTTTATTGCTGGATATTCAATTTTTCTCCATAGGCCTCAATGGGCACATAAATGACACTTCATCCATTCTATGGAAAGAGTGTTTGGAACATAGTGAATCAAAACACAGGTCCCATTCAGTGATATGAAACAGCACATCAAAAAGCATTTTCACAGATACCTTGTTTCTACTTTTTAAAGACACATACTCGACTTTTCCTTATACACCTCAATGGGCTCAGAAATGTAACTTCGTAGATTCTATATAAAGAGTGCTTGGAACCTGATGAATCAAAACACAGGTTCCATTCTTTGATATAAAAGCAGGTCACAAAGCATTTTCACAGTCACCTGGTTTCTAGTTTTTATTGCTGGATATTCAGTTTTTTCTTATAGGCTTCAATGGGCTCAGAAATGTCACTTCGTGGATTCTAAGATAAAAGTGCTTGGAACCTGGTGAATCAAAATACAGTTTCTATTCTGTCATGAAACAGCACATCACAGAGCATCTTCACAGATATCATGTTTCTAGTTTTCATCGCTGGATATTTGACTTTTTTTATAGGCCTCAGTGGGCCCAGAAATGTCACTTCGTAGATTCTACGAAAAGAGTGATTGGAACCTGGTGCATCAAAATACAGGTTCCATTCTGTGATATGAAATAGAACATCACAAAGCATTTTCACAGATAGCTTATTGTTTGTTCTTATCACTGGATATTCAATTTTTCCTTATAGGCCTCAGTGGGCTCAGTAATACTTTGTAGATTCTATAAAAAGAGTGTTTGAAAACAGGTGAATCAAAACCTGGTTTGTTTCTGTAATATAAAACAGCCTATAAAAGGCCAGGTGCAGTGGCTCACGCCTGTAATCCCAGCACGTTGGGAAGCCAAGGCAGGCAGATCACAAAGTCAGGAGATTGAGACTGTCCTGGCTAACATGGTGAAATCCCGTCTCTGCTAAAAATACAAAAAATTAACCAAGTGTGGTGGCATGCACCTGTCGTCCCAGCTACTCAGGAGGCTGAGGCAGGAGAATCGCTTGAACCCAGGAGGCAGAGGTTGCAGTGAGTCAAGATTGCACCACTGCACTCCAACCTGGGCACCCTGCTCCTGCCTCAGCCTCCTGAGTAGGTAGGACTATAGCTGCTGGCCACCACACCCAGCTAATTTTTGTATTTTTTAGTAGAGACAGAGTTTCACCATGTTGGTCAGGCTGGTCTGGAACTCCTGACCTCAAGTGATTCGCCCGCCTCAGCCTCCCAAAGTACTGGGATTACAGACATGAGTCACCATGCATGGCCTCATATTCCCTTTTTAGAGATATAATTTTATGCCATTATAGGCAGGTTGTACTCTGAAAATCAGATATTCCTGGCTATACTGTACCCAACATGGGGACAAACGCATTCTAAGTTAAAGATAGTATAACCCAACATAAAAGAATATTGTAACATCACAATCCATAACAATTCGATTCCATTATGCAGATGTAGAATTGAGGAGGAGGGGAGAATGTAGTCAACCAATCTGCTATGAAGTAGATATGGGATATCTGATTGTATTTCAAAAGATAGAGGTAAGACATTCTGCCTGGGTAGCAAAATACCTTGGGGAATTTCACTCATCCTTGACAAATATCTAGGCAACAATATACTTCTCCAGTTAAGCAAGACATTGTCTCAGTTGGGGATCTGAGTATTTGTCTCTAGAAATGAAATATAATAAAGACACACATACACACAGGGTTTTATGTAACAGGGTCATCATACACTATTTTATATATATTCCATTTTTCAGTAAATATGTCATGGACATGTTTTCTTGGTCACAGTGTACATAGATCAACATCACCATCAGTTTTAATAACTGTATAATCTTTCATTGTATAGGCTAACAATTTATTTAGCCAGTTCCCTGTTGTTGGATGTTTAGGTTGTTTCTAATTTTTCAGTATTACAAACAACACTGCTAGGAACTTTCTTGTACATGTTTTTCAATTTTTTCTAATTATCTCCTTAGGGTAAATTCTTAGAAGCGCTATTACTGCGTCAAGATCATAATAAAATGTGAATACAGGAGGAAATGGGGAGTTACAGTTGAATGGGTACATAGTTTCTTTTGGAATGATGAAACTCTTCTGGAGATGGATGGTGGTGATGGTAGCACAACAGTGTGAATGTACTTAATGTCCCTGAACTGTACACTTAAAAATGCTCAAAAAGGCTGGATGCAGTGGATCTGCCTGTAATCCCAGCACTTTGGGAGGCCAAGACCTCACTTGAGGTCAGGAACTCAAGATCAGCCTGGCGAACGTGGTGAATCCCCATCTCTACTAAAAATACAAAAATTAGCCAGGCATGGTGGCATATACCTGTAATCTCAGCTACTCAGGAGGCTTAAAGTTCAGAATGGCAAACTTTGTGTTGCGTGTATTTTACCATAATACAAAAAAAAAGAAGTGTGACGGCATGCAGGCAAACTGCCCTTAGTGGAGAGGATTATTTGTTTTCCCCACACAACCACTAATGCTAGACATTATTAATTTAAAAAAAAAAAAGCCAAATAACAGGTGACTTGCTCTACTGATTTGGATTTCTTTGATTGCCTGTAAGACCGAACATTTGTCATGTTTATTAGTCACCTGTATTCCTTCTTTTGATACTTGCATATTCAACTCCTTTGACCAGTTTCCCACCAAGGGTGTTTGTCTTTTTCTCTGATTTGCAAGTGCTTTTCCTGTGTGTCAGGAATAGGAACCCTTTGCCTGTCATGGACATTTACCATTCAAGCTCCCCTCCCCTTTTCCTAGAGCTCCTTTAACCCAATCCCAATCCACGAAGATTCCCCACCCCTCTTACGTTCCACTCTACTGGGTCACAATCTTTTCCCACAGTGACTTCAAAGAAGGGAGTTTGCAATCGTTCCTTAAAGATCTCCTCTTGCTCCTTGTTTTATCTGTTTGTATAGACAGGGTCTCATTCTGTTGCCCAGGCTGGAAGGGAGTGGCACAATCCTAGTTCACTGCAGCCTCGAATGTCAGGAGTCAAGTGATCCTCCTGCTTCAGCCTCCCCAGTAGCTGGGACTGCAGGGGTGCACCACTACACCTACCTAATTTTTTGTTTGTTTGTTTTTTGTTTGGTTGGGTTTGTTTGTTTTTTACATCTGGCTAATTTTTAAGTTTTTTATAGAGACAGGGTCTTGCTGTCTTGCCCAGGCTGATCTTGAACTCCTGGGCTCAAGCAATCCTCCCACCTCAGTCTCCAGAGTAGCACCACCAGGCCCAGCTAATTTTTTTAAAGTTTTGTAGAGATGGGGACTCACTGTGTTGCCCACACTGGCACTCCTTGTTTTTACATCCTGGAGAAGAAAGTGGGAAAACAAAGTAAATTTGAGGTGAAATTAATACTCCCCACTTCATCTTCTCTCCCCTCCTCCTCACCCTCCCCCTTCCTGTCATTCCAGACCACCCTCCCCTGTGCCCCTAGGTGAAATGTCCCTTCCTGTCATTCCAGACCAACCTCCCCTC